CGTTTTCATATACCACAGCAACAAATTTGAGGCATGATGCCAAAATGACTCTGAGGCTGTATCTCTGCATAGCTTTGATATAATGACAACAAACTTTGTGTGTGTCAATGTCAGCTCACACAGAACACACCAAAATGATTTGATTACAGCACCACCTGTTGGTCAAAAGTGATAAGCCATTTAATCATATTTCTAGAGGTTGTATTTTAGATTTTTCAGCCATTTCAATTACAATCATCCTAAAATTGCTTTTTATTACCTCTGGAGTGCTTGGCCCCGTGATTGCTGCTTGCAGCTATATTTTATTTTGTCATTGTACAGCCATGCAATAATTCCTGTGGTGAAGAACTTCCTACTTCCTAGGTTTTCAGATGTTACATTTTGCAAAGCAAATTTGGAGTTGACGTCAGTGTCACATAATATTGTCCCAGTTACCCTTCAAATCCTGCAAAGACAAGGTGTTTTTGATTGACTTTACTATAGCAAACATCTTCATTTAAAGACTGTATGATTTATGGTTATTATGCTGCATGTTATTTGGAGGAGCAGCATCTTGAGGAGAAAATGTCATTCTAGTGTTGTACAGTGAATTCAGATGAAACTATCAGCTTGTGAGCGTCAGGCACAATAATATGAGCCCTTCCCCATACTAAAACACAGAACACTTTTCAGTGATCTGTACATCAATAACCGTACGTAACTTGTTTCTTAGATGTCATGTGCAGTGTCAGCATATCCTGAATTTGTTCACAGCTGTATTACTATTACAGATTACAATACTCAAACTATGCTCCTTATTGTTAACGTCAACACAGTGAGGCCATTTGTAACTTGAATGTGCGAGGCTTCCAGTGTCTTTCATTTCCAGTTATTTTAGCTGTACAAAAACAGTATTTGTTATCATCATATTTTATTGCATTATCATAATCATGAACACAATGGTTTGTAGCACAAATAGTTTTACCATTTATTGCACTTTGTTATTTTCTAGTTATTTACCTTCAGGCAATTTAATGTCCTGCATTATTTTACTCATTGTGCCCTCCTATAAACAAGACAAAAGTTTAACCTATTTAATCTGCATAAAAAACATTAGAAAATAGATATTTGTGTAATTTTTATTTTGTTTTTGACTGTTAAAACAAAAAAAAGGTGTTGTTTGTCTCAATAAATTGAGTTAATTTAAAAATATAATACCAAAATTATATTGCTCTTTGTTTTTAAAAAGGTTATAAAAATGTCAATAAATATCGATACCGAACGATATGAAACATTATATCGTTGATACATTTTTTAGCTATATCGCCCAGCCCTAGTGAACACACTCAAACTCAGTCCCGGCGCAATGTGTTTTTTGCTAGTTTCAGCTCGACACATTATTTTCACGTGGTTTAAATAGCAAATGCACCTGCGCCCATCTGTGAAACCAGGTGTGTTCAAGCGCATTGTTGGCGACTGAAGACGATTGCGCCATTGACCAACTAAAGCCTGGTCTAAAGTCAATGGCTCAGCATTTTTTATTTATTTATTTATTTAAAGGGCACGTTAGTAATATGAGCATATAGACGGGTGCACAACGCGCAGCAGCACACAAACAGCACTACATTAAACTATAGATATAACGTTGAATATAATGCACTGGGTGAATATCGTGGGTCCTGATGTCAAATGTCTGATTTTACCAGTAATACCACTGTAGCCAGTGACAGTTAAAAGCATATAACGTATTTTCAGCTTCAGAGTAATGAATATTTTTCTTCTGGTGTCACCATTGCCCTGTGTTCAAGTTCAGTTCAATTTAAGCCACCATCCCAAATTCATACGAAATTTGTAATTTTAATCAACAGTCCTTTTTTGTTAACTTTTTACCTTATGTCCAAGAAGATATAATAATAAAACAAAACACACCTGCTTTAAATTGACTTAAAATATTGTGATAATATTGTATTGTGAGTTCAGTATCAAGATATGAAGGACAAATCATGTTGAAACTAGTTTCTTGTTTTGTACCTCTTTCAAAACAATTGCATAGAACGGACCTGTCTGAGGGCCTTAAATATTGTTTTTCCAAAGTTTGTGTCTGTATCTCAATTATTAAAGTTATCTTAACATGATATTAGGTTCCTAAGAACCTTGTTGTTGGCGACATAAATCTAAGGTCTGTAAAATATGCCTTGCATATTTGAGCGTTTTCGTGTTTTTCAGCCCCCTGAAGTATATTTATTATTTACAGGCCAAAATGTTTAAAAGCAGGTATGCATGATATCTCAAGAATTATGATTGCTGGCCTCATAGAAATTACTTATATCTATAAACTGATAAATTAACATACAAATATGAGGCACCAGCACATTGCTTTCACGTTAAAAAATGAAATGTGCTGGAATAATATGATTACAGTGAAATTGGTGTAAACGTGATTGTGTTACTGATCGTGTTTGTTTGGTGAACACAGCGAAACTCATTGTGGAGAAGAGCAGCTATCACACATTTGACAAATATAATAATCTGCAGGTCTGAGATTTGAGGGGTTTCCAGCAGCGCTTCAACAATGAAACATCAGCTCTGAATATAATCTTCATCAGATGTGAGGATCAGTTAGTTGATGTGTGTGAGTGACGTCACGTTACAGCAGCAGAAACACATCCAGCTCTGAACAGAGTCCTGCTTTTCTCCTGCTGCTGAAGTCAGATATGTTCAGTAAGACACAAGAGCATCAGTGAGCTCAGATACTGACGATGCTATGAAACCGCAGACAGAACTGAAGGAGGAATGATTTCTGTGTTTCTCAGGATCTTCAGGAAGAGATCTTCATCTCCTGACCCCAGCTGTGTGTCTCTGAAGAGTGATGCATCCATGGGTCATCCTCCTGTGAAATTCAGTGATGAAGCAGTGACCTCTGACCCCAGGTGAGACACACAACTACTGCTTTCTCAGTGTGTCCCACAGGAGTTTGTGAGACTGTGGTGGGTGGACTCGGTCCCTCTAGGGGGGTCCGGGGACATGCCCCCCCGCAAGAAAATGTTGTAGATTTTAAAGTTAAATGTATCTATCTGGTGCACTTTGAGAGTTCAACATTAAGAGCTCCAACACAGGTTCAGTGTGCAAACTAAACAAAGAGAAGAGCTGGTGAAGTGACTGTACTTGAGGTTTAAAGGGGAATAATCCTCTTTTTAGTTGTGATATAGTGTCTCAGTCTAAATTACACTCACACCAGTGAATCTGGAAGCCTAGCTAATCAGAATATAATCATAATAATAATAATAATTTTAGAATATTATTCCTATGACAGTAATAGCCATATATTGTAAAACAATTGCACTGTAAAATAAATAAAAATGAGTATTTCACAGCTATATTATTTGACCTTATTCTACAGGAGGGAAATTACAATACTTGTGTCCTAATTTCTACACTCGCAAGCAGGGCCTAAAACTAACTTTTTACCACATCTGCCATTTTAATCACAATACAAACAAAGATGCTACACACATGTGGCATGAGCAGCTTTTTGATTGAAATTTGATTTCATCCTTTCAGCATTTGAAGCAAAAACATAATGGTCATAAATAAAAATGAGTATTTCACAGCTATATTATTTTACCTTATTCTACAGGAGGGAAATTACAATACTTGAGTCCTAATTTCTACACTCGCAAGCAGGGCCTAAAACTAACTTTTTGCCACGTCTGCCATTTTAATCACAATACAAACAAAGATGCATGAGCAGCTTTTTGATTTAAATTTGATTTCATCCTTTCAGCGACGTGAAAGAGTACTCGCGCGCTGTGAGAGGCGCTTTCTGTGTGTGTGCTTCAGTGTCTGCGCTCAGAAAACCGGACCGAACTGAGCTCTCTCTTGCGTCGTCAGATTTATCTCTATGTCTGCTCTTCTCTTACTCCCACATATTGACATTTTTTTACGTTTTATGAGATGTGCAGCAAGTGAATGTTAGCTTATGTCCCGCCGGTTCATGTACGCATCTAACCTCCGAACCACGCAGCAGATTCCTTCTGAATTAATCTCTTTCCAGATCGTCCCTCAATCGTACATCGTAGTTTTTGTCATTCAAAAAGAGTTTTAGTTCGTTATCGTCTCGTTGTCGTCGGTGAAAAAAATGTCGTTGACAAATTATGACGAAAATTATTCATCAACGAAATTAACCCTGTAACACACGCAGTACCAGTTATGTGATTTATCGGTACTGTACTTTTATTTCAAGCGTTGCATGCTCGTAGTTTCTGCGCTTTAGTGAAGTGATATACAGCGCGGTGCAACATTCACGCGTGCAATAGAAGAGTGTGCGCTACGAGCATGGTATAACATCTGGCAGGACAAGATAGTTTGCTTTTCTGAGCAAAGATACTTTTTATTTCATAACAAGTTACGAAAATAACGATAGAATAATGAGACTGACATTAGACCTGTCCACATCTCATCTGACCACAGATACTGAATCGGGACAGTGCGTTCTTCTCAGGCACTCTTTACTTAAACTGCATCTGACAGAAGTGTCAATAGCTTTCATGCACGTCTTTTAAAATAAAAATCTTGCATCAGAAAAACATTTAGAATTACGTTTTTTCTTGTTGATGTCATTTCTTTGGCCATACACTTCGCGACCCACTTTTGGGTCCTGACCCACCAGTTGAGAAACACTGCTTTAGACTGTATCGTGATTCCGGCTTTTCAGTCTCCAAATTTATCACATAATAATGATGATGTTTGTTCTGCAGTTTCAATGTTTAAGACTCTGTAAGGACCTGCAGGAGCTTGTTTTACTCACACTTACTTTACTCACTCCTTAACAGACAAGACTGAAATATCTATTGATTTAGATTTTAATTTACACATCCTTTATTTTCAGATATGTTTAATCTGTTGTTCTTGTGATATTTCAGCAGAGCAGATGGAGAGAGAAGCATCTCTGGAGGAGCCGCCTCTGTCTTCTGTCTGAACAACACGAGCGTTACAGCGTCTCTGAATAAACATGATCTCGCTGCTTTCTATCTGTTTTACTGCTATTTAACAAAGAACAAGGAGCCACTGGAGTTTCTGGATAAAAGATTCAAACAACACAGTTCCAGTAAAGTCTCTCTGTATGATCTAATATCAGCAGTAGGTAAAGCTGTTGAGAGTGAGAATGGACGTCTGGATCTGTCCCTGCGGTTCCTGCTGGGCATCTCACTGGAGTCCAATCAGAGACTCTTACAGGATCTACTGACACACACAGAGAACAGCTCCGAGACCATCAGAGAAACCACACAGTACATTAAAGAGACGATCAGAAATGGACATGAACTCTCCACTGAAAGATCTATCAATCTGTTGCTCTGTCTGCTGGAAGTGAAAGATCAGACTCTGTCCAGAGAGATTCAGGAGTTTGTGAAATCAGACAAACAATCAGAGAAGAAACTCTCTCCTGTTTACTGCTCAACAATCTCCTACATGCTTCAGATGTCAGAGGAGCCGCTGGATGAGCTGAACACCATGAAATACAACACATCAGCTGAGGGGAGAAGAAGACTGATACCAGCTGTGGTCAACTGCAGAAAAGCTCTGTGAGTGTTTCATCATTAACTAAACTATCATATTTAATAATGAATCTGACACCTTTAAAATAAATGTTCCTGAATGAGAGATTTTCTCCTGAATAACAGGCCAGAATCTTAAAGGGGTCACGACAGGTGTTTTTAATACAGTAGAATGTATGTTAGCGCCGCGGTAAACACAACCCAGTCACATGAGAAACTGGTTCATTAAATCAGCAGCAGCAAAGAGACGCTCGACACATTGATCAGTAAAACTGACATTCAGACAGTACTAGTACTAACTAAGTAGTACTAACCCTTATATTTGATAGACCCACAATAATCTCATTTTTTTAAGCATTCAGCCGGCAGATAAATCTATATATAAGATTTTGTAACAGTGCTTTAAAAGTGATTACTCTTGCACTCACAAACATTAGTCAAGTCAATTCAAGTCTGCTTTATTGTCAATTCTTCCACATGTACAGCACATACACACAGAGAATTGAAATTGCGTTACTCTCAGACCCTCTGTGATGTGCACACCCAGGAACTTGGTGCTGCTCACCCTCTCCACAGTCACTCCATTGACGGTCAGAGGAGCATGCTGAGTGTGCACTCTTCTGAAGTCAACAACAATCTCCTTCGTCGTCTTCACATTCAGAGAGAGATTGTTGTCACTGCACCACCTGGCCAGGCGGCTCACCTCGCTCCTGTAGTTTGTCTCATCTCTGTTGCTAATGAGACCCACTACAGTCGTGTCATCCGCAAACTTAATAAGGAGGTTGGAGTTGTGTGACGGTGGCAGTCGTGGGTCAGCAGAGTGAAGAGGAGGGGGCTCAGCACACATCCTTGGGGGGCCCCAGTGTTCAGTGTGATGGTGGTGGATGTGTTGCTGCCGACCCGAACTGCCTGAGGTCTTCCAGTCAGAAAGTCCAACAGCCAGTTGCACAGCGAAGTGTTGAGCCCCAGCTGGACCAGTTTGTGAATGAGCTGTTGAGGGATGATTGTGTTGAATGCTGAACTGAAGTCTATGAACAGCATTCTGACGTATGAGTCTTTTTTGTCCAGATGTGTGAGTGCTGAGTGGAGGGTAGTGGCGATGGCGTCATCGGTCGAGC